TACATGGTAGAATTTTGAAATAACCACAACGTATTCATGGCAAATACCTTTTCAACAGCACAAAAAGTGACTATTTCTGTCCATGAAAAGCTGGACCTTAGGAAGAAGAATATGATATCAGTATTGGAGGATTAATAACTTGTGATATGCTGAAATACATCTTTCTTTGCTGACAGTAAAGACTTCAGGAACTTTCTGATGAAGATCCAAGATGATAAACTTCAGTATGGATTACATCTCAGCATAAAGAAAACAAAAATCCTCACAGCAGGATCAATAAGCAACATCATGAAAAAGATTTTTTAAATGTTTATTTCATTTCACTTGGTTTCACAATCAGTGCCCATGAAAGTTGCATTCTATATGAAACATGACCTCATCTACTCTGAGGCCAGAAGAACTCAATGGTTCCCATCTACCAATAACAACTACTCTGATTAGGGTCACAATCGAGGGATCTTGATAGAATGAAAGAAACAGAACCTCAAATTAAAAAGAAAAATGCAGACTACTAAACCAGTTGAGAGTGGAGGATTTCCCAAGACAATTACCATGAGATACACTTTTAATTTTGAACTAAAACAAACCCTAGAGGTGACCTTTTAGCTAAATAACAGACTGTTTCACAAAACAAAGAATATCAGCCATCAATACTGTGGTTCCTTTTACTAAGACAACCCTCTTATGAGTCCTAACAGTCAACAATTGCTTTGAGACAAAAGTAAGAAGGCAAGGGGATAGGGGATCTAGGCCAATGGAAATGGAACAACCTGAAAAGAAATAACGAGATGCACTGTGAGGAAGGTACCAATGTAACTGTACAATTTGTGTAGTAATTATTAAAAAGGAAGCTGGATTGCTGGATAAACGTTAACCAAAAGACAAGAAAATAACGTTTACAATTTCTTCTTTTTTTCTCCTATGTTCTATTTTGCCTGCAGTCATTATCTACTGTTGAATTCATTCATGTTACTACCCTTAAAAATATCTGTTAAACTCTTTCCTTCCTGGGTTTTTATTAGATTTTAGAAATTGCATTCTTCTATTATTTTATCATAATATCAAATTAAAGTTGGCATTTTGAAATGTGAAAAGAAACTGAAATTCATCAATGCTATATAAGTTGAATACTTGCTTGACAGTTAAATTTAAAACATCCATGCGATAGCCATGTGGCCCTCTCTTAGTCCCAGAGTGCTGAGGTCAGCATGAATAATCAGATTGATGGGGCAGACCCTTGACTATTCCATGAAAGATTGCTAATTAGAAAACATACTTGTAGCAAAGGTTACCATACACTTCTGAAACACCATAAAATATTGTAGTATAATGCCTGCTTTGTCTAATACTCCAAGATTCTAGGAGTGGTCTAATTTTTAAAGATACCTTTTCTTTAAGGATTAAATTTTTGTAGCTCTTCTCAGTTTGTGGAAAACACAAAAGACAATGGAAAATAAAGAAACAAATTCCTGTCTGCTTTCTCCATTTTATCTTTCCATAAGCATAAATGTCACTTAAATATATCCTTACAGGATAAAGACATGATTGTGCAGTTAACAAAAGGAAGTTCTTTGTGAAATTTTTCCTAGATGACTCTAAATGTTACTGCTGATACTACCATCATTTTCAAAAAAGTTTTAATAGATGAGATAGGGCTCAATTCCAAACTACTAATTATTAGAACACAGTCATACTGTATGATGCAATTCTAAAATAAAAAGATTTTCAGTGAAACTCTTGTCAAGTGACATTCAATTTAAGCTACAGTACGTATGAGGTTAATGAGATTGCAAGGGGGTAAAAGGAAATAAAAATGGGTTCCTTGTTTCTGAAGCTCACTTTTAAAAGCCTGGAAATGGAGCAACTGCCCAGATAGAGGGTGAGTAATGGTAACCGGGCAAAGAATTTGGAAGACCCAAGAAGAATTAATGCTTCAAATTATGGTGTTTGTGAAGCATACTAAATATCGTGTGTATTGCTAGGACAACAAACAAGCATATCTTGGGGAAAAGTTAGTGGCAAAATCCTTAGAAGTGAGGATGGGGCTTTGAGCATGTTATCAGGAGCAGCCAGTCCCAAGAAAGGAAAATGGTGTTTGGTAAAGTAGGTGGTTATGGAAAAAGATGAAGAC